TTATAGCAGAATGAAAAAAGAAACATCGACTGTAACAGTTTTATCTTCCTGGGTTTCAATACTGTATTTTTCATCCCTTGTAAACAGTTACTATTTATCTCTGACTTCGCCTTTCCTCCTTTTTTTCAGTTCTTGGCCTTTTATCCCTGGTGATCACCAACAAGTATAACAATGTCGAAATTCGAATGAAAATTTATTCAAATGGTTGAAAAATCGATAATTCAAAAAGAATTCCAGGGTGTGGAGCTCTTCCACGGAGGCTAGATCCCGACTTGCACAAGAAAGCGGAATGTACCTTCTCATATTCGTTCTATCAGAATAGCACCTAAGAAATCTGAGGTAGGGCAGTGATCTAAGGGTCCGCTGGGCGAGGATAACGTTTCCACAGCCATCGTTGACAGGAGAAATCCTTGGGAACAAATTTGGCCGTGCTGACACCTGGACGATGTTGGTTCAGACAATAGGACATTGGGACTTTAAGAGTGCGTTATTATGGCTGCCCTTTCAGTACAAAAACCAACATTGTCTCGACTGCAGTCTAATACATACATATAAGAAGCACTCTTTGGCAATAAGTCAGCCGAGATCATGAAGTTGCTGGAAACGAGGGGGGAATCCTTTCATAGCAATAATATGGGTAACTGGCGATCAACTGGCTTCCTCAGTTTCTCATATCGCCCTTTATTTCGTCCAAAGGCGACGTATGCTTTTATCACATGCTACTGCATATTGCATTCTGCTGCTTGATAGAGGTAATTTTTGATTGAATTTAAAAAACACCTTCTATAGAAGGAATTTCGAAACACCAATATAGAAACGCAAGTCTTGGTCAATTTACGATGAAATTCATGTCAGATTTAAAGCAAAAAGGGAAACGGTTTTCTTCCAGAACTAACAAAAACTGTTACATTTCTCGAGTAGGTATCCGCTTTGTTAGCTTTCCTATACTTTGGAAATTAGACATATATAGTACATATAATTTTAAGAGGTATCTCATCAGAAATATAAGTTACAATTTCCGGCCTAAATTAGCCGGCTAGTATAGTCCATGTCTGATCATATGATAATGTAGGACTTTCGAAATTCCCGAGGAAGCAGCACTAATGATTAATAAAATTTTCTCTCTTCGAAGTCCTCCGGTGCACGTATTTACAAAATTTTTGAGTAGTTTTAATAGATCGAATAATATTATTCGACTTTTAAAGCAAACTCTAGGTTTGCCTACAAACTGAGGCACAAATAAAGTAAGTAACCCAGCTAGAAACCATGTCTGCCACGAATATTTGACCCC